TTTACTAGTTTGTGAGGTTTTTATGATAAATGGTATGTTTAAAAATCATATGTAGGGCCCTCCCTCACAAACTTTACTAGTGTATTCCCATTTAACTAACACTTTCTGCTTAGTCATTTAGATCTCTATTTCCATTTTGCTATCCATTTAACATTAATTAATAGCTATCCTATTTCATACCTCCTCTTACTTACCTCCAAATTAAACTATTTTGGAACTATTTTGGTGCAGCGGTTTAAAACAGCATGAAGAAGCTAAAGCCACTTCAGCATGAGGTCTATCCCCGCATGGGAGGTGAGCACAGGGCACGCAGACCTCTCCTGATCTGCTCACTGCTCCCCTCAGCAGTATGCTTCCTTGATCTGCCTGTTCTGCTCCCTGTTCTGTCTCTGGTGAATTCCTCTCATCACCCCTGCACCTCTGGCCTGTACCCCAGTTCTGTATGCATAAAAAAAAATCTTATAAAAAAATCACAAAGTATGGGAAAAAAAATAAAATAGACTTAAAAGTAGTCATAAAACAATATGAAAGGAAACAAAAAATATACATTATTACAAGTAAAAAAAGTAGCTCACTCCCCTATCAAAGGGAAACCCAATAAATTAAATAATAAAAATGCAAATGGAAGGGATGGATCCAAAATAAGACATCAGTCAAATCCATATTTTGTGACAGCAAAAGAAGTAAAGTTAATGTTAAAAATAGAATCTTAAATAAGGATATTTTCTCATAAAAACAGATAAAAGCTACAAAGAACAAATACCAATCAAGAACATTATGTGGCAAACAACACAGACACAAATCATATAAAGTAAATTCTTGAAATAGAAGGAGACCCCAGTAAGAATCATTACCACCAAATGTTAATCAGTTTTTCTCAGTATTTGAGACAAGGAGGTTGGTAGAGATCATGGTGTCTGGAAGTCGTGAATGACCTGGCATCACAGTGAGCAGAGCCAAGTGCTAGAGGTGGTAATGGCAGTATTTGCACTCAGACAGTCACAGGGTTGGGCGTTGCTATCAGTGATGCTAGGATTAGCTGTAACTCTCGCAGATTAATTAGCTCTCCTAAAGATCCTGGAACTACTTATAACTTTTGATAAAATTTTTATAATTAATAAAAATGTGATGATTGTTTATAACTATGTCCTTTCATGAATTACTATGACAATATTTATTAATTTTAAAATGCCCCCTCTGAACTAGTTTGGGGGCAAAATGCCATTAGTTTGTCTATCAGACTGAGTGATAGGATTTCTTACTCTTGAAATGTTACTTCTAAGAATTTATGCACAGTACTTGAAATGTGTGTAAATACATGTACTGCAGCATTGTAGCAATTCCAAACACAGCATTCTATAGCCAAAAAAGAGAATCTCAAATATCAATCAGTGGATGACTAACTGATAAATTATTACATGCCCATATTTTGAAATCCTTGTAGTTCTTAAGACGATTAATAAAGATTTGAATGTGTTAGTTTGCAAAGCTGTCTAGAATATCTAGTTATATGAGAAAGGCATGTTTATAGAATAATGTTTGTTGAATGAATGCATGTGTTTCTCAAAGCAAAGAAAAATATATGGAAGGATTCAAACTGTAACGGTCACAATAGTAGTTTTAAGCAAGGGAGCATGGTAAAGGAAAGAGATTTTTTTATTCACTTAAAGATTCTATATAGCTTGAAATGTTAAACGGAGCATTTTGTAATACAAATAACTAAAAAACTGATATATTAAGACAGTTTTACCTATTATATCAGTCCAACACATCCATAAGACTTATAGTTCCAATTATGGGCCATGGAGATTTCACAGGGGATAAGATTCAGAGGCCTTCAACCCTGTGACTTGACCAAAGAGCTGGTGGTGAGAAGTACAATTCTGTGTGTGTATTTCACGTCCCAAATATACCTAATTATCCTGAAGCAAGGATTAATTGTTTTATAATTGTTTCATAGGAAATGCTTCCCTCACATTTTTAATAGACACTCATAAATGCCTTAACTCAAGAACAGTGACTTGGAGTGGGGGTAAGACTGTTGGATCCTAGTCCTAAACCTGCAAGGGCATCACTCATAAAATTTTGATAATCAGAGATAAGAAACTACAAATGACAGATGCAAGATTCTGTAATCTTCGTTTTGTGATCTCTCTACTTGTGAAAAAAAAAGGTGTAAATATGACATCTATCTGTAATGTAAACTATATGCTTTATGAGAAAAATAACTTCTAAAGTTGATATAAAAGCACAGTACTGGCAATGCTTTGACAATGTATCAAAACAGTTACAGACAAGCAAAAGGAAAAAGATATATGGGAATACCAACAGATTCTTTTCAATTCAAAAGATAAAAATAACCCCAATACATAGAATTAAGTGTGAGAACTAGTTTCAGTAAAAAAAATAAATAATATCTATAACATCTACAATGAAATTTCCAGGTAATTTGTTGCTCTTATATAACACATCATATTAAGGACGATTTAAAGAATGTTTTCCATTTGCTTTTCCCTTAGGATACTGGACTCTTGTTTCAGTTAGGACCTTTGATCATCTCTGGGATCACCAAGTATAGTGACAAGCAACCACGCAAAGTGGGCAAGAGCCTACCAGCCTTCTGGCGCCCAGCAAATCTTTACTTTCTCTAGGCTTCCTCTGGTGGTCTTCCTCTCAGAGACTTTCTCTCTGCACCGTCGCCTTGGTAGCCTCAGCTCCAGGGTCAGGGTGCGCACTTACATGTGCTACACCATTCTCCAGTGCCCACCATCAGGCATGAGTGTCCTGAGCCCACACTCCCAAGCATCTCCAGTATTAGCACAATCAAGGCCATGCATGATAGCCTCAGAGACGGCGGGGTAAAAGTCTGACCAATCTTCATTTACCTACACCAAATAACAGATCTGACCTGGAGGGGAGTGTTACCATTAAAAAGATATCTCTATATATCATATAGTTGCCCTCCCCACCAGAAGAACTAGGAGAACCAAATTGTGCCATCCTAACAAACAGTGTGGACCGCTGAATTCTCTGAGCTGGAACTACAGGAACACAAAGGGTTGATTCAATTATTCAAAGACAACAAAACAAAGCAGAAACTGCACTGATTGATAGATCCACCCACCCACAGCTACAGATATGCGTGGTTCCAAAAGCTTTTGTGAACTCTAATTCAATATCTAATGGTATTAGCCACCATTTATAGAAACAAACTAAAGCATACAGAAACAAAACTAAAGACATTTCAAGAAGGCCAATGGATCATCACAAATTATACCTATCAGAAGCACTTCATTAAATCTGAAATTCAGGTATGCCACATACATAACAGCCTCTTGAATAATTTCACTGCCACATGTTAGATGTTACCTTAAAACCTGGGGACTTTTTAGTCTTATGGAATCAGTTTTCTTTTATCATGAGATATTTTTTCTTCCTTCAAACACAGTATTGTCATTTCTCTTCACACATACAGTTCAACTCCAGGAAGAAAATCATTGTGAAGTTTCTGTTAACAGGGAGCTTATAGACACCTTATGCTAATCCCCCAATTCTGGTATTTTATATGAAAAGTTCCTGACTTCATCTCAAAATGTGTAGTTGCAAAGAAAACCCCAGTACTCCTTTGGTGTGATTCCCCTTCCCGACAAGTAGACAGTTATTTTTAAGGTGTAAACTCAGCAAATTAAGATGTTTTCACCAAGAGTTACCTGTACACTGACCACAATGATCAAAGATGTGGCCATAGTAACTGCAAAAGACTGGTAGTCATCAATGTGTTCCCCGTCTTCTCCAGTCAAGTTGTAAAAGGCCCCATAGGGGATGAAGAAAAGCACCAATGATGTGTAGATTCCATGTGCAATACAGATGAAAAATTCACGCTTGTTAAAAAATAGATTCAGTTGTCCAGGTTCATAGAGCTGAGGGTAGTCCATGCTGCTCTGTTCACTCACATCCTGTCAACACAGTATTATTTCAGTGGACAAAAATTGAGGAAAGTCACAGAGACCCTGAAGTGTGCATCTCCAGAAATAGCAAGTGCATGTATAATCACACTCTAATGCGTATCATCCACTACCTTGTTTTGATTCCCAATAACCCATAAGGTAATAAATTCACCGCTACTTTACAAAGGAGGACATTCTATCTTCAAGAGATTCATGAGAGTTCACACAACTCCTATCAGCAGATCAAGAAATGGATTTGTACTCAGATGTCTGGCTTCAAAACGGAGCTTCTTTTCTATTCTCTCTACAGCTGCATCTTGCTCCCAAAATTCAAACATCTTGTGGCCCAGGCAATGGGCTATGGGGCTCACAGCTACAACAGTGAGTGGTAGTGACCAGGAGATGGCAGCAGAGAGCTGTGGAATCAGAGTTGGTATATCTGCATTCAGAACTTTGTGGGAGGGGGAGTGGAAAGAAGGGAACAGGGAAAGGAAAAAAATGCTATGTGTGATTCCTAGGGGAAGGGAGCTCTGTTCTGTTCAGATTCCATTGCAGATACCAGGTATTCAGGACAAAGATATTAAGCACAATGAAAAGGAATCATATTTAGCACCAAAAGGGCCTGGAAGAAACAAAAGCATTACTTCTCAAACTTAATGTGTACAGGATCACCAAGGGAGCAGATTATGATTCAATAGTTCTGACCAGGAGACAGAAATGGCATTTCCACCTATAACCTAATGCTGATAACCACTCTGTGAGCTCCAAGGCCAATGCCAAACCAAAAAGGAGAACAGGGATTAACTGCTGGGGACCACTTGGACTGCCAGTAGACCAAAGCAATCAGAGGGTGAAACAGGCAATAACTCTGGGGCAAATGAATCCTCTAGGGCAGAATGTTGACCAAGTCCCCTTAGAAAGTACTGTCCTGAGATGCCTTTGGGTGTTCCTTTTCACAGTTCAGAGAGTGACGGAGTTACATACATGGACTCTGGTGATCCTGAGTTTGAATCCTACCACTGTTGCCTACTAAATATGCAGACTTGGACCAGTTTCTTAGCCTGTCTAAACCTGAGTCTCCGCATTTCCAGAATACAAGTAACAGAACTTCCCTATAGTACCACTGTCATGATAAAGCTTGTGTAAACTATTTAGCAGAGTTCTTGCCTCATTTTATTTATAACAAATAAAATGATAGTAATATTAATAACGATAGCAATAGTGTTGCAACCTCACAATCAAGTGTCCTAGTGCTAGGATTAGTTCTGCCACTTACTGACTGTACGGTTTTAGGGCAGTGACCTGAATCTCTGACAATTGGTTTCCTCTCTATAAAATAAGTGGACAAATAAGTGATTGCTGATGGCCTCAAGCATAGTGTTCCATGAACCTGTGAAGGGCCAAAGTTGACAAAGTGGGAAAAGAAAGAGGTAGATACTCAACTTTATGCCAGTAAGACGACTTAATACACTTTTTATTCAAATTGCACAATAACCATCTTTTCCCAGAAACTGCTTTATTTTTATTATTTTATTCCACATTCTGGGAAGCTACAAAACACCAAGAGAAGAAACACTTGTAAACATGGGAACTTGGAAATAAATATGCTTAATTCTTTACATCTAAGGGCTTCAGAAGTTCATTACATTTTGTAGAATTCTGCAAACTATTCCATTCACAAGTTCTCCTTTTAACATATGAGAACTGAGACAACTGACTACAAAGTCACAGAATGGGAGAATGAAGTGAGCTCATAATGTGAAGATTTATATTTTGTAATAGCCAGCTTTAGACCAGAAAATGGTCTAACAAAAGCCTGGAGAAAATCTGGTTTTTTTAAGAACACTTTAATTTTTTTTTTTTCAAATAATACACTCTAATTGTGCCATGGAAATCCCTCTGGCTAGCCTTCCACTTCCCCATACAGAGCCAAACCTTTTCCCCTTCCAGGAAGTACCTTCCAAGGTTCTGAGCATGCCAAGGACCTACCATCTTTGTAACTGATTCTCTCTCTTCTCAGCAAATGAGCTAGAGAAGAACACTGTACTCCTTCCCTCCATGCCTATAAGGCTCCGTGTTCTCCTCTCCTGTTAGGAGGCTGTTAGCTGGCCTGTTGTTCCTATTCTGGGCTGGGCTGGCCAACCAAGTCTCACCACATATGCTAGCCCTTTACCCTCCAACCTGTTCTTAATACTTCATGGTCCTCCTCAATCTCCCAAAGGCTAATTCAATTTTCTAATAATTGCACCACAAGGCACTAGTTCTGAGGCTACATGGAAAATGGGGTGATATGAATAGGTGCTATGTGGAAAATAAATAAATGAAAGTGGAGTCATGTGAGTTTGGAAATTGCTGTACTGAAATGAATTTAAAGAGACTGTTTCCTGCAGAACTTCTTAGAGTCTTTAGAGTAATAATGTGGGTGCGGCTCTCCAAGGGGAGAGTAGCCAAACTTTGATCATAGAATCCTTTTGGGGAGGTCAGGCATCTGGAAGGGTTTTTGATCCATCAACACCTATTAAAACAACTGAACTAGGACTCTTTCCATGTTTTGTGTTTTCTACTTAGAAACTAAAAAAGCATCAACAGAGAAAAATACATTATAAAGATACAGAAAAACATACCTGGTCAAAAATCCCCATGGCTAGAACAGGCAGTGATGTATAGACAATGTTAAAAAGAGTAATGAACCACTGGTCATAAACTGTCTGAAAAAAAAATATATAACAAAGCAGTGAGAAACCTAATACATAGTAGTTAAAATATTCACTTTAGGGCCCTCCCTGGTGGCGCAGCGGATTAAAGCACTGCACTAAGAAACTAAAGCCACTTCCGCATGAGTTCTATTCCCGCCTGCCCCGGAGGCAACCACATGGCGTGGCAGACCTCTCCTGACCTGCCCGCTGCTCCCCTCAGCAGTGTACTTCGTCAATCTGCCTGTTCTGCTCCCCACTCTGTCTCTGGTGAATCCTCTCACCCTCCGCATCTCTGGCCTGTACCCCAGTTCTGTATGAATAAATAAATAAATCTTTAAAAATATATATTCACTTTAGTTTTCTGATTAAATATCTCAAGTTTCTTCTAAGGTGGCAGAGTGCAGTTTGGAGACAAACATGAAGTTTCTGCCAGGCTCCATCTTTTATGGGCTCTTCTGTCTTAATGGGTTATCAGAGCTGTCTAAACTTTAATTTTTTATACCTAAAATGAAGCTCTATGCCCCTGCAGAGTTGCATGGGGGTGGGTAGTGAAAAGTGATCACATGTGTAGGATACCTACCTTGATGCTGGATATATACCAAGAATTGATTAGACATATACGTATGGGGGGACAGGGGATGAATAAGCAAGTGAATTAGAAGGTAGTGAAATAAGCTAGAAATTAAAAGAAAAATATCGAATGGTTTCACTTATAGGAGGGACAAAATAAGAAATCAGGAGGGAAAAAAAGTAACTGTAATTAAGTTAAAAATCAAACCATCAGGCAACTATAGATCAGAGACATTCTGTAGGGGAGGAAGAGGGAGAAGGACCAGCACAGGGGTGGGAAGAGCACAAAGGATGACAGTGATGGTGCATGGGTGAGCTGGTGGTGGTGGGAATTTCATGGGGAAACCATACATTGTAATAAATACATATTTTTTAAAGGTTTATTTTTTTTGTGCATACAGAACTGGGGTACAGGCCAGAGGCTCGGGGGCGGCGAGAGGCTTCGCCAGAGACAGAGTGGGGAGCAGAACAGGCAGATCGACGAAGTACACTGCTGAGGGGAGCTGTGGGTGGGTCACGAGAGGTCTGCCCCGCCATGTGGTCACCTCCGGGGCGGGCGGGGATCCAACTCATGCAGAGATGGCTTTAGCTTCTTAGTGCTGTGCTTTAACTCGCTGTGCCAGCAGGGAGAGCCCAATAAATACATATTTTTAAAGAAGAAGGTAGTAAGTACTAGGAGGAAAGGAGAATCGGAAATGAGTCAGGGTTGTAACTATAATAAGGTAAATGGGCAAGATCTCACCGGGAAGTGACATTTGAGAAAAGATCTGAGGAAAACAAGGAAATGAAATATGCAGCTTTCTGAAACAGGAGCATTTCATAGCACAAGTTGGCCCCTGAAAAATCCCTGAAGCAAGAAACCATCTGGTATGTTCAAAGGACAGCAAGATAGCATTTGACTCATGCAGAAGTACAGGAAGCATAACAGATGACAAAAAAGTAAGGAGGAAGAGTTTAGATAGGTAACTGTGACTTATTCCATAAGCTGTATGAGATGACAGTAGAAGATTTTGAGCAAAGGCACCATCTGATTCCATTTATATATATTTTAAGATTTATTTATTTGTGTGTAAAGAACTTGGGTATAGGCCAGAGGTGCAGGGGTGGTGACTGGTTTCACCAGAGACAGAGTGGGGAACAGAAACAGGTCAACTGTTGGAGTACACTGCTGAGGGGAGCAGCGGGCGGGTCAGGAGAGGTCTGCCGAGCTATGTGGATCACATCCAGGGCAGGCGGGGATCGAACTCACGCGGAAGTGGCTTTAGTTTCTTAGTGCGTTTCTTTAACCCACTTCGCCACCAGGGAGGGCCCCGATTCCATTTATATTTTAACAAGATCACTCAGGATACTGCACTGAAACAGACAGAAGAGGAGCAATGGTGGGAGCTGAGAAACCCAAAGTGGTCCAAATGAAAAATAAAGATGACCATGTGACTAGTGGGGAGATGTGTTGAGTCTTTAATATATTCTGAAGCTTATATTCTTCTTAGGGAACTTCTGAAAGCAATAAGAAATGTTAAATGCAAGTGTTCCAGAGAGAGAAGCTAAAGGTAGTCTAAATAATTATATAAATAAGACAATCCTTTAAATCATGTCATAGGTATGCAGATTATATTGTAGAAAAAATATTTTGGTATCTTTATTGTTAAATCTTAACTGAGATGGCTCTATGTGTTGGCATTATTGTTTATTTTTTATTTGGATATATATATGTTCAATGAAAGGAAAAGAGACTTCAAAGGTCACTGTTCTGTCAGAGATCCACAAGTGGTTTTATTTAACACTGAATAAACCAGTCACTGTGAAATAGACTATCATATTCTGAGAAAGGTTATATCCAGGGCAAAACAATAAGAAGCATGGGTATTCCTGTGGTCAGTCACCTTGCAGAGAGTTCAATCTTCACAGGGAAAATGAAAACATAAAGAAAAAGGAGGAGGGGAGAGATCGGTGAGGGTAGGATACTGCTTTATTTTCCATTATCTTCAGAGCCTGGAATCCATGTATGAAAGACATGCCTGAAATCCATGTAAGAAGGACCTGCTCAAAGCCCTTGACTTTGAGGGTAGGTCAATTAGGCAGACAACTTGAATTCTATCAATTCAGCATTTTGTTGTTGTTGTTGTTATTCTTTTATTGTTCTATGAGTTCTATTAAATTCAATGTTTATTTCAATTTGGCATAAGGATTTGAAAAGGGGGCCTATATACTGACAAGTGTATAACACTGATACTTAATGTCCTGTTTTGTAGCATTTGACAATGTAAACAGTACTATTACCTCTCCCACAGATGTTTAAGAAGTAGTATTACTAAATGTAGAGTTGAAAAGAGATGTGCCATAGCACACAATTATATATTATTTCCATCATACAGATTCAATAGTTATAAATGATTTCAAATGATTAACTAAAACATAGTAAATAAGAAGTGATGAATTTTGAAAATTTATTAAGTTTCATTCTAACATAATTATAAATATATACCACTATACATAGCTGTGAAACTACCAAGAGTTCAAGACAAAGAAAGAATATTTTAAAGTGGCTAGAGGATAAAAACAGGTAACCTACAAAGGAACTCATATCAGGCTTGCATCAGACCTCTATGAGGAAACATATGTTAAAATGGCTATATTATCCAGACAACATAGATTTATTGCAATCCAATGGCATTCTATAAGGAATGAGAATATGCATTACTAAAAATATGACACCCAAAATGAGCCTTATATCTTAAACAATCTTAAAAAAAAAAAAAAAAAAAAAAGAGGCCCTCCCTGGTGGTGCAGCGGGTTAAAGCACAGCACTGAGAATCTGAAGCCACTTCCGCATGAGTTTGATTCCCGCCTGCCGCCTGCCCCGGAGGAGACCACATGGCGAGCCAGACCTCTCCTGGCCTGCCCGCTGCTTCCCTCAGCAGTGTACTTCGTAGATCTGCCTGTTCTGCTCCCCACTCTGTCTCTGGTGAAGCCTCTCACCGCCCCTGAGTCTCTGGCCTGTACCCCAGTTCTGTATGCACAAATAAATAAATAAATCTTTAAAAAAAAAAAAAAGAACAGTTATAAAAGGCTTGCATGATTCAAATGATACTACAAAGCAATACTAATTAAATATGTGTAGTATTGGAAGAAAAATAGACACACAGACCAATGGTGTAAAATCAAGAGCCCAGAAATAAATCCACACTTATATGGATAGTTAATTTACAACCTAGAATCCAAGAACATCTACTGAGAAGGGAAAGTCTATTCAACAAATGATGCTGGGAATTTAGATAACAACATACAAAAGAATGAAAACAGACCACTATCTCACATCATACAAAAATTAATTCAAAATAAATCAAAGACTTGGATGTAATAAAACCATAAAACTCATACAAGCAAAATTTTTCTTCTATTCAGAAGAGCATCCATCTGAAGACAATAGAAACAATACTAAGAAGGAATAAATGCATTCCTATGTTCATTACAACACTCCACAATAATTAGGTTATTGAAACAACCTAAATATCCAACAACACATAAATAAAGATGTCACTTACATATCCCTTGTCAATGACTTCAGTTTGTCTGGGGACTTGACTTCAAAGACAAGGGAAATAAAAGCAAACATAAATAAGACTTCTGGGCAGTGAAGGGAAGTATTAAAATGAAAACACACCCTTCTGAATTGGAAAAAAAATATGTACATCATACATCCAACAAGAACTTAAAATCCAAAATCTACAAAGAACTTTTACAACTCAAACAAAATAACCCAAACATAAAATATTCAGATAAGCTGGATACTTCTCCAAAGAAGACATACAAATGGTTAATGTGAAAAATGCTCATTTTCACTTGTTATCAGGAAAATGTACATCAAAACCACATTAAGATACCAACTAACACATGTGATGATGCATATCAAAAAAAATCCCAAAACAAAGTGTTGACAAGGATGTGGAGTACAAGAAATGTTTGTACACTGTTGGTGAGAATGCAGACTTGTCCAGCCACTGTGGAAGTCAGTATGAAGATTTCTCAAAACACTAAAAATATATCTATCATATGATCCAGCAACTCTTTTCATAGGTTTCTAAACCAAAAGTATACAGATACTGCTTCAAAGATATAAATGCACTACTCAGTTAAACTACTCACTATTTATAATAACAAGTTTTGGAAACAACATATGTGCCCAATAGCAGACGAGTAGATAAATATGTATTCTGTATACACAATGGAATACTACTCATTTATTAAAAAAAATGAAGATGAAATCTTGCATTTGTGTTAACAAGGGGACACTTGTTATGTGAAATAAGTCAAAAGGAGAAAAACAAATACTGGATTATTTCGCTCTCATTTGTGAAATATAAAGAAACAAAACAAAGAAACTGAACGAACTAAACCAAAACAAACCTCTGAAATATGATCATAGAACAGAAAGGGAAGAG